GGAGAATGCATGTGCCCTACAGCAAAAACCTTAAAAAAAAAAAAGATCATTTTTTCAATTTGACCAGAGAGGAGTGGGGGTAGTCAGAAAGTCGGCCACCAGGTCCAGGATTTGAACTGTGGTTGATCATGTGGGAGTCCAGCGCCTCAACCTCCACACGACCTGCCGGCCCCTTCGGCTTCCTTTTTATCTGGTTAGATATTAAAGTAAAATGAATGAACTTTAAAGGGTATTACAATTAGCCCCATCCTTTTAACACATAAAAATCCAACATACCACAATACTTTTCAAGAGTTGACCAGGAGTAAAATGTAACCTCCTGTAGAAGTGAAGAAGGGAAACTGAAAGAAAGAGATGTTTAAAATATGTGGGTGGTGTAGAGCTGCTGATAGAACTGTGTGCATGCACGCACGTGCACACACAACACACTGAATCTAGAAGAAAAAAATATTTATGAAGTCTTGTATGAAGGGTTCCACTTTCAATTAATAGTGTGAGACTGCAAAATTCTGGCAACAGATTACTTGCAGAATGTTTTTATATAAGAACTTGAGACATCGTCTAAAAGACTGACTCAAGAATGCCTGTTCACTTGTTGGATGTGTATGACATTAATGAGACTAATTTAGAGTTCCAGAAGTAAAGGAAGACTGATTAGCTTGTACAGGTGTATAAAGAATGACTCATCAGACAAAAGGTTATATAAACCATTTACTGAAAAAACGAAGTCTAGATTTTTACATTCCCAGACCCCTGCTTATCTTTTGCAAACTAGAAAACACCTGAAATTCTTTGAACACCAGCAGCAGATTTAGTATAAAGTAGTTCCAATTTTGAACAAGGAAAAGTTTCATGTAACTTTAAGACATAAAAGCAACCAAAATTTTCAGTCAAGTTGAACATATATATAGTTTCCATTTATTCCAAATGTGAGGATCTTAACATTGTATGTTTCTTAAAACATTATCCCTTCTAAAGTAATATACCAAATAAAGATTTTTAAAGTGTTGTATTCCGTTTCAGTAAGAGACACATAACTTAATTAGATTACTAGCATTATTTTTTAAACTCATGGTCAGGATTTTACTGCTAGTCCACAAAGGGAAAAAATAATTAACCATTGTTAAAAAAGAAATGAAAATTTACTTTTTTTCTTGACTATTATTTTTTACATGCAAAACACAGTAAAAGTGAATCTATAATACATTGACTATTCTACAATGAAAGTCTATGGAATGGAAACGATCAAAGCTGTCTATGCAATACTAATGTGTTCAATAAATTATCCAGATGCTTTTCTACCAATACTTGGATTACCTGAATTTGTCAATTTTTCAAAACGGTTTTAGCTTTCATATGATTCTTTTTGCTGGTAGTAACAGCTACGTGCTACTTAAATTTAAAAGGAAGACATAAGCATAAAATCCCTGAAGAGTAGAGCTAAACCGTTCAAGAAACAAGTTCACTGAAAAAGGAACATACACCTAATAGGTATCCATAGGGGAAAACAAAACAAAACATCATTTTCATTAAGTGAGCATCACTAACGAACATTGTCTTAACAGAGCAACTGCCAATATGTGAACTATACATTAGTCTTAAATACCTAAAAACAAAGCAATCAATAACGTACAGAGAAATCCTAAATGGAAATCACATTTAAATACCTTAAACAGTGTAGTGTGTGTGACATACACGGAATTCCTTTCATGTCATTACTGCTACAAATTCCTTACAGATGTTCTTTTCCTAATGGACAATTCTCTCACAGGAAACATGGTAAGGAACTTCCCAGTACACAGCAGTTCTCTCACTCCACTTTGCAGTAAAGGCTGCATGCAGCAGACGGAACAGTACCTATTAACTAGATCTAAAAGATCTAAAAAAGCACTTCTGAGTGAACTATTCAGGTTACGTGGGCTAAGGCTAGTTAAGATTGGTTTGTGCTACTAACCAACACTAGGTAGATTTTACACTGCCAGACAGAGGGCTTCATTCCAGTCCATTTATTTAAAACTTTTGTAATACCTAACATAGCATACCCCGTAGACTAAAAAATACTAGCTGAAATATGGAATAGGTATGGAAATTTAATGAAACCCTCACATACATATTCCTCTCACATGTCATTATTTGGGGGAGACTATGAGATTTGAGCTAAGTAAAACAAAAATATGTGGGCTCAGGCTTTCTAGAGTAATGACTTATGTTTTCAAACTGAGAATCAAATAACCCAACTTCTATAGTCAAGAAGAAACTTTAGAGTATGGAGGGAGGTGGCTTTGATGAGCCATCTTGTTCGTGATCTGTTAGCTTACACGTTCAGCTGAATTAGACAATCAATGGTAAACGTCACACTATTCCTTAGATTAGTAATAAAAGTTACACTACCCTCCTCATTGGCGGGATGTGTCCTTTATTTATGAAGGCATAGCTCCAATGGAAAAGAAGTCAAGGGTTACTTCTATATATTAAGATTGGTTCAGATATGATATGAGGAAGTTTGACACTAACTTGACTGTTCTGCTTCTTGAACACTAGTTCTTTCTCAATATATTTCTTCCAATGAAAAGCTGCAGAGTTTGGTTTCTTATAAGTCAAGAATGAAAAAATATACCTGGATTCTGTAACAGCTTACTTTTTAAACTTAATTTTAAAAATTTATTTTACTTATATATCTGACCAGAGTGGGGCAGAGTAAGAGAGAGAGGGGGAAAGTGAGAAAGGAAGCCACCAGGTCCAGCCTTGAATCGTGGTTGGCTATGTGAGAGTCCAGCGCCTTCAACCACCACGCCACCTGCTAGCCCCCCTGTAACAGCTTATTAACAAAATCATGAATAGTTATTAAATAGTGCAAACACTGCAAAGAACTTACTAGTCATTGACTCAAAAAATCATAAAACTACAAAAAAGAAAGAAAAGTAACTGTCACTTTAAATGTGAATATTGTCCAGAATATCAGATCAATTACGAAACTCAAGCCTTTGCTGTTTTGTCTTATGGCACTGAATAAACGGATACTTTTATTACACTGACTTGTATTGTTTTCAACAAAGAATCTGTAGACTTGAAATCTTACACTTTAATTTTAATTACAAAAGTCCAGATTAATCCAGAACACATAAACCACATGCAGCTGAGGTAGGTTTTTTACCTTAAGAATACATTTTTATCACAATTAAATATCAATTTAACTATTAAGAAACTATACTGTTTCATGTACCTACTCATGATACTTAATTTTCTAAATTTTAAACTACTTGAACAATTGTGACAGTATCCTAAATGACTCTGTTTAATAAATCCCTTAGATTATTTAGAAATAAACACCTCCAAAACCTTCCTTTCCTCTCTACTGGTAACTGTTGTACAAGAAATTAGCATTAGTCCTACAAAAAAGAAATGAAGATTACTATAGCAATTTTTGAGAGTTCCTATCAAAAACCAGGGAGGCAAGTCATGTTATTTTACAATAAGCTTAATATTTTGAAAATGATCTCATAAACACGTTAGAACTTTGGAGGTGCTTTATTATACCACAAATTCCCAGAAAATATAAGAAACAATATTTCTGAAAAGGACTAAGAATTTCACAAGCACTAGAACTTTATTGACAATAGTCAAATTTTCTAGGGTAGAATACAAGTATTTAAGTTACCTTTTTAAAATATCAACCCATGTCATAAATTTTATTGGTAAATTATAGCAGATCTGACTTTAGTTTTCCATAGCCCATGTAGTATGTGAAATAAATGCATGTTTTAATGAGGTGGGACGAAAACTGCATGTGAAAAGCTTTGCCTAGATTGTCAGGCTCCTGTTTCTGCACTCAGTATTAGAATGTCAGAAAAATAAAAAGTTGTCACCAAAAATGTTCCTAATAAGCTGAAGACAAGGGAAAAAACTGAAAACAGCTCAGTCTCTAAAAGCATTAATACCTGACATAGTTCTAAAAAGTGAAATGAAATGTTCCTTTATCTACATAAGAATTAAACAGAAAGTCCAAAGTAATTCTATTGAAAAACCAACACACGAATACATTTTAAGGCTGGATACTGACAGCATTTTCACAATTCCAAAGTGTGGATGAGGAACCAGGCTAGAAGGACATTTCTGTCACTTAGTTACCCTTCTAAGGTAACGAAGGTAATAGTGTCACAACCAAAGGCAGAGAAGGGGCCTGGCCTGGCATGCCAGTCTGACATACTGTTCCCATGCTGGGTAAGTCTTTATGCAGTAATACTGCAACAACTCAAAATTTCTTATTCTAACATTAAACTTTCTGTGAGCAGTGAATATATATATATGTGTGTGTGTGTATATATATATATATACACACATATATATACACGTGCACACATATATGAAAACTGCTTTGGAGACCGAGATAATTATTATTAGGTCGTTGAAAGTCATGATACATTTTTCCACAGAAAAACAGAAATACGTCATGACTTTCTCGATGACCTAATAAATAAACTAAAAAGGAAAAAAATGACCATAGCTAAAATCGCATCAATTCCAGCTCTCCAATGGAAGAGACAGGAGGAAAGACAGCTGCAGCTGTTTCCAAAACTAGGGTAGGATCAGAATCATCAGATAGTGACTTAAAAAATTCCAGAGTCTCAGAACCAGCAGTTAGTATAATGGCTATATCGCTGGACTCCCATGTAGTCTACCATGGTTCGAGTCCTGGCCCCAGTGGCTTAAACTTGTGCATGCGTGCTCAAGATCCCAAGAGGAGAAAGGAGGAGAAGAGATTGTGGCATGGCATCCCCCCTGGGGGGTGATTTCTTGCTTTCTGTTTCTGTCTTTCTGGCAAGCGCACACACCCTATAGAAAATCAGAGTCTCCAGGGTCTCATCCTAAAGCGGTCTCAGAACTATAGCCAGGTAACTCGTTTTAGGTGTCTCTGATAATTTTGATGACTGGACAAGCTTGAAATTTCTAAAGTGGGAAGGGAGGCCAATCCAGGTAAATGCAGAAATGTTTAGAATTCAGGATCTATCATTTTCGCCAACTGTCGTACATTTCCTATATTTGTAACAGTGAATAATGAAGTGCTTGGCAAATAAAACGTCTGGAGAGTACCAAGTGATTTTACTCCTTTCACGCCACTGTCATTCGTTAATTGGATAAAGTGGTAGCAGTATTGCTGTTAGGGATTCGACTACCTTGCAGACATTTCCTGATGTATTTTAAAAGGGTGAGGGTTCTTAACATGAAAATGCAATAATAAACAACCCTAAATACTAAGGACATCTGATAGAAAAGAAAATGTGTATAATTCTTCAAAAATAATTGTTTGAAAAATTTCAGAATTAGAAAGGAATAGGGAAATGATCTCTCACATAAGAAAAACTGTCACAGTGTTACTCTCCAACTTAGAAGTTAGGCAAAGTATTTTAGTACTATTTCTGTTTTTATACTGTTTGGTTAATATATGTATAAATGTTTTAAGTGGATATTCTGGTTTTGATTTTAATGCATATAATAAAAATACAGATTTTTTTCTTATACATTGACATTGCATATGCTTTCCAGGCCTGAAGAATAAACACTTAAAATAGCCCATGTTTACTAATAAATCTCAGAACAATAAAAAAGATAGTACCTATATAAAGACTTTTATATTAAAATTACAACTGTATGTTTCCCAGAAATTAAAGTGATTTAAAAAAATTTAATATTCTAACACAAAAATTGTAAATTTCCATTTACGACAGCACAATTCAAGTATTAAATTTATATTCAGCCAACTAGAACATGATAGTGAGTTTTTATAATAGTTTTCCTTTTAAAAGGTTACTGTAATATAAAATGATGTGACACTACTGCCTAAAATTGCTTAGAGTTAAGTGAAAAGAACAAATGACAGGACAGAGACCTTTTTACGAATAAGTCACCAACATGTAAGAGGCCACACACACTAGTAACAACGCATTTGTAGGTAACTCCCCAAAAGTATTTTAATCCATGTAAACAAAGGCTAAGTGTATATTCCTTCAGGGAGAAAATGCACTACCACAGATAAAATATATTCAAATGGTTGTGACTTTAAACCATATATTATTTGAATACCACACAAAACCAAAAGAGGCATTACCCATCATTTTAATAATTGCAAGATGTTACTTATTTGTGAAATAAAGGTTGATGCTTTTTTGTAATTATTAATGAAAAAGAAATATTTTGAAAATAAACATCCATCCATTTTCTAGAAATAAATATACATACTTAATTATTTTAATGTATTGCAGCATAGGAATATTGTCCTAGGATTGACCATAACATTCAATCAGTAGTTTTAATACATTTTTTTCCACAATGAGCCTCAAATCTTCTACCTTGTCAGCTGCCCAACAACTTTCAAAAGAGTTTTGTTTTCTTGCTTTAGTTGTTCGTTTTCATCTTCAATGTCATCTAGATCCTTAAGCAAACAAAAAGAAAAATAATATTTTAAAACATTTAAAATCTCTAAAGGAGATTGAGAACTTAAATACATAATCAAAGATAATTCATAGTTCATTCATTCTGAAATGAAGGCAAGTTTTGAAAGTAACCAGATGGGATACATAGGGTCCCCTGTAAAGTGACACCCATTACTTGACTATTGTTATCACAAGTATGCAAGTCAACTCTTGACAGATCTTTCAGATTTTCAAGAGAAGCAAGAAGTCAAGACTTAAATTTTTTTTTTTTTTTTTTGTTATAGGGCAGATGTGCTCACCAGAGAGTGTGACAGAGAGAGAGAGAAAGAAAGAGAGGGGAAAAGTGAGAAGTCACCCCCCAGGGCAATGGCTGCACCGCAATCCCTTCTCCTCTTAGGATTTTGGGGGTGCGTGCACACACACACACACACGCCTGGAGTGATTTTCAAGCCATCAGGTCCAGGACTTGAATTGTGTTAGGCCACATGGGAATCCAGTGCCTTAACCACCATGCCACCTGCTGGCCCCTGATATTTGCTTCTTAAGTAGCAAGTAAATTCCAAAGTTCAAAACAAAACAAAACAAAACAAAAACAGGGTTACAAAGAAAAGATACCAATCTTGGAATATAGCCACAGTGAAACTTGGGGATGCATTAAGTATAACTAAAGAAAACAGTGGTGAAAATACACACAAAGACATCTGGAATGTCTTCCAGTAATCAATCTTTTATTGAGGCAGCTTTGGACCAGCAAGTATTGTTTTAGGCTGGTGGTGACCACGCTGTCTCTTACCTCCATGCTTAAGGATCCAGAACAAATTTATTCATCAATCTATGCCCAGAAGAATAAAATTAAGCAAGTTAAAACTGGTAATTGACCACAGGAAATGACTTTATGAAATGAAATGACTGTCTTACTACTACAATCATCTCAATAGCAGAAGAACGAAATAATGTAATTAAGTAATTTCTTCGCATATAAAAAGAAACTTGAAAAGTTTGTGGAAAAATGAAATTAAAGTATGGAAACTCCCAAACTGAAATACAGGAAATACTTACTCTATTTAATAAATGAATTTCTTCTCTGAGTTTTCTAATCATTTCTTCTTTATCTTGCATCAGTCTCACAAGTCTTAGGTTTTCTTGCCTTTCTCTTACTACTTCCTGATAGATATAATTACAAAGCATTAACTGGGAAGTAATTAGTTTATTATAATCTTCTTAAATGGCACACGTCTGCCAAGTTTGATAAAGCATCTAAAGCTTATAAAAAGATTTCTAATGAATTCCTAAGACACTTGGTGACAGAAGGAAGAACCAATGCCAGAAAAGAATCAATGAGGGTAGTACAAAGCTATCGATAAGGTACGTCCTTGATTAAACCCATGTTTGCACAAGTTTTTAACAACTATTAACAGACTCCATGATTTACCTTGTCTAGCTTACCATTACCATTAGTTATAAACTACTTTATTTTAATTTAAAATATTTTTTGAAGAATTATTTAATTTAATTAATTTGTTTGTCTTGTTTTAATCTGACCAGAGAGGAACAGAAAGAGAGAGAAAGAGAGAGAGAGAGAGAAAGAGAGAGAAAGGAAAAGTGAGAAATTAAGCCACCGAGTCTGGGACTCAAACCTCAGTTGGGTATGTGGGAGTCCACCACCCTTAACCCCCACCTGCCAGCCTCTATTTTTATTTTATAAGAAGTTTTTGCCATGGGGTATGAGCACTCACTGGAGAAAGAGAGACAGAGACAGTGAGAGGAGAAGTGAGAAATCACCTCCCAGGGAGGATGGCCATGCTGCAATCCCTTCTCCATTCTTCTCTTGGGATTATGGACACTTATGCACATGCATCTGGTGTGAGCTTTTAATTCGCTAGGTCCAAGACTCGAACCACGGTCGACCATGTAGGAGTCCAGCGACATAACTGCTGCACTATTTGCTAGCCTGTACTTTCTTTCTTTTTAAATAATGTTTTACTTGAGGAAACTCGAAACTTTCATTAAAAATGCAAAATTTAGGGGCCAGCAGGTGATGTGGTGGTTCAGGGCACTAGACTCCTCGTGGCTGACAGTGGGTCGAGTCTCAGACCTGGAGGCTTGCTTTCTCACTCCCCATCCCCTACTCTATCCCTCTCTGGTCAAATTAAAAGTAAAATATATAAATAAAGTTAAATAAAATAATTCTTAAAAAAAGCAAAGTTTAAGAAAGGGAGATGGCCCAAGGGAGAACTCTTAAGCAGAAAAACCATGGTCCTCAATTTTACCTCTAGTGCTGCCAGCTGATTCACAATGGGTAAAAAGAAGGAAACAAAATTTATTACTGATTTTTAAATTTATTTTCTTTAAACAATGCAGTACCATTTTCAAAAAAAATTTTTTTCATTTAGAATCCAGGCTTTGGTCTGGGTCAGACACCTTCCTACAGCAAAAGAGAAGTGTGACTAAAAAGGCCTCATCCAACCCTCAGAGAAAGCAGCCAGCCAGCCACACCAACTAGTTGCAGCCAACTACCAGCAACTCAATGCAAACTTGCCTCTCTAGGGAACACTCTTGATAACAATTTGCTGGGGTCAGCAGGTGGCATGGTGGTTAAAGCACTGGACTGCCATGTGGCCGACCATGGTTTGAGCCCCAGACCCAGGAGCTAAAACAATCACACCGGATGTGTGAGCATGTGTGCTTTAAATCCAGAAAGACAACTGGAGAAGGGATTGCAGCATGGCCATCCCCTCTGGGAGGTGATTTCTCACTTTCACTCTCTCTGTTTCTGTCTCCACTGAGAGCACTAGCTCTATGGCAGGGAGGAAAATAAAAAAGCCAGAAACTAGTATTAGAGCTTAAGATGTTACCTAAAAATAATCATAATGTTATTGGATAAAAACTTTTTTTAAAAAGAATTATTTTATTTAACTTTATTTATTTTATTTTGACCAGAGAGGAACAGAGTGAGAAAGAGAGGGAAAGTGAGAAAGCAAGCCACCAGGTCTAGGACTCTAACCACAGTTGGTCATGTGGGAGTCCAGCACCCTTAACCACCACGCCACCTGCTGGCCCCAGATAAAAAGAATTTTTTAAAATTAAATCTCCACTTAGGGACCAGCAGTTAGTGTAATGGCTATGTTACTGGACTCCCATGTAGTCGACCGTGGTTTGTGACCCGGACCCGGTGGCTTAAAACTCACGCCGGGCGCATGTGCATGCGTGCCCAAGATCCCAAGAGGAGAATGGAGGAGAAGGGATTGTGGTGTGGCCATCCCCCCTGGGGGGTGATTTCTCACTTTCTGTCTCTGTCTTCCTCTGTCTGTCTGGTGAGCACATGCTCCCTATAGCAAAAACCTCTCAAAAAAAAATAAATTTCCACTTAAAATGATCATTATTATCACAGGGAATAATTTTAATTCAGTAAAACAAAACATATATTTAACAATCAGAAAGTAATTCACTATTATCAAAATTTTAAGAATTATTTTACTTATTATTAATTTTTTAATTGCTATTGGGCATGTGCACAGAGAGAGAAAGGGAAAATGAGAAGACAAGCCACCAGGTCTGGGACTCAAACCATGGTCTGCCAATATGGGAGTGCAAAGCCTCAACCACCATGCCACCTGAAGGCCCCAATTATTATAAATTTTAAGAGTTGAATGATGGCCCAGCCATGGCGTGGTGGTTAAGGTGGTTGAACTCCCATATGGCTGGCCACAGTTCGAGTCCTGCACCTGGCAGCTTGCTATCTCACTTCCTTCTTTTTCTGATCAACTTCAATAAAATAAATTAATGACAATGAATAAAATGAAATAATTCTCAAAAAAAAGTTTTATGTCAATGGAACAAACCTGAAGGACACTGGGGTCAATAATGTATGCCAATATCCATTTGATTTCTTCTCAAAGATATTCCTAAGCAAGCTTTTATTTTTTTATTTTTTTACATTTTTGCTATAGGGTGCATGCGCTTGCCAGAGAGACAGAGACAGAAGGCAAGAAATCACCCCCTAGGGCGGATGCCACTGCTGCAATCCCTTCTCCTCCATTCTCTCGAGAGTTTGGGTGCACATGCACCCAGCCTGAGTTTTAAGCACCCGAGTCCAGGACTCAAAGTGCAGTCAACTATGTGTGAGTCCAGTGACGTAACCATTATGCCATCTGCTGTTCCCCCTACACAGGCTTATTCTTATGCCAAAGATGGACATAACCCAGACCCAGTGGGAATTCTATAAATGACAATCTGTTCACACAATGTAATTAAAGCACAGTAGTACATAGTGCCAGCTCCAACTTCAAAACAGTTTTCAATATAGTAAAGATGATACCTGGCAGAATCAGTGCATCCATTAAATACGAAGGAATTTTAAGAACTGGCTCAGAAGTTTTTATAAAACTCAATAGGAAAGTATTAAGGAAATCAGAAAGTGCCTAGCCTCTATGCTACCTAGAAAGAACACACTAAAGACAGTGATTTGAAACTGCTATTTCAGAACAGTGAATGAAAATACCGAGCAACATGGATGGTCTCTGCCATTAGCGCCCCCATTCCTATCTTTCTTTCTTTTTTTGTTGTTGCTATCTCTTCCCTACTAATTTTAAAAAAGAAGTCTCCGTAATAAATTTTATCAATATTAAATAAATTGTAATTCATACCTTCTCAAGGTCTTCAATCTTCTTTTCCAACGTGTTACTTGAGACCAAACTACCTGAAACATTTGCATCCCTGTTGTATCTATTGAATCCACTTCTATCTGTTCGAGAATATCTATTTGAGGCATCTTCTTCAGAGGCAGAGGTTGTGCTATAAAAATAAAAATACCTATTTTATGAAAGTCCTTAGTAGTCCACAAGGAAAATGCAAAGAATATTTTCTATTTGACCTAAAAATGAACCTTCCTTGAGGACATATGATTACGGTAGCCAACTTATTTACAACTGTAGAAGTGAATCATTATTCAAATACAATTTAAAAAAAAGAAAGAATGATTTAACTTCATTTATTTATTTATTTTAAATGTGATTGGGGGGGTGGGAGAGCAAGATGCAAGGTCCAGGAATTGAACCATAGTTGACCATGTGGGAGTCCAGTGCCCTTAACCACCACACCACCCACCAGCCCCTCAAACACAATTTTTAAAAACATGAAAGTAACAGTATGTCCTGAGTAAAAGTACCAGACACTGTTCTAGGTAGGAAAGATGTAACAGCAAACATAGACACATGGACTCTGCTCTTCTTCTTTTGTTTGTTTTTACTTTAGTCTGCATGTGCTCATCAGAGAGAGAAGAGTGGAAGTGGGGGGGGGGTAGAAAGAGAGAGAAATTGTCCCCTAGAGGAGATGGCCACACCACAATCCTTTCTCCTCCATTCTCCTCTAGGCTTTTTTTTTTTGGAGAGGTTTTTGCTATAGGGCACATGACCTCGCCAGAAAGAGAGAAGGGCACATGCACTCGCCAGACAGACAGAGAGAGACAGAGAGATAGAAAGTGAGAAATCACCCCCCAAGGGGGAAGGCTACGCTGCAATCCCTTCTCCTCCATTCTCCTCTCGGGAAGCACACGTGCCTGGCGTGAGTTTAAGCCACTGGGTCCGGGACACGAACCGCGGTCGACTACGTGGGAATCCAGCAACATAGCCATTACGCTAACTGCTGGTCCCTCCTCTAGGCTTTTTGGGCACACACAAACTCATGCCCAGCATAATTTTCAAGTCGCTAGTCTGGGACTTAAACCTAGCAGCAGGCCATGTGCGCTCAATGCTTTAAACTCTATGTCATCTGCTAGCCCCCAAACTGGTTTCTTATCTTACAAAAACACCAAGAGTTTATCTCAAAGTTCATATACACCTGACTCAAATTTTTCCTTTGAAAACCAATGTATACCTCATCATACAGTAAGAGTTTGATCAGGTCAACCAATTGGATCAACTCCAAAACAATCTTTTTGAGGAATTTCAAATTTAATAAGTTAGTGCTTACGTATTTTGCATTTTTAGTGAACTACTGTTAGTTTAGCTGATACAACAAGCTTTTTAAGAAGTTTGCTATAGGAAGCATGCACTCACTGGGGAGAAATGAGAGGAGGGGGAGTAGTAGGTAATCACCCCCTCCCCACCCCCCCGGGGGATAGCCATAACATAATCCCTTCTCCTCCATTCTCTTCTCAAGATTTTGGAGACACACACACACACACACAGACACACACTTTCAAGCACCAGGTCCGGGATTCAAACAGCAGTCAACCATATGGGATACAGCTGCCTGAACTTCCACAGTACCTGCTGCCCCAGCAGGCATATTTAGTTTAGCTGATGTAACAAGGCTTCCTCAATCAAAGCAGCAGAACATTACGTTTCATTCTGATGCAAGGCCTAAGCACAATTTTATTTATTTATTTATTTATTTATTTATTTTGTCATTTGTCCCATAATCAGAATATAATCCCACCAAAAGAAAAGTAAAACTGAAAGCCACATTTGTTGGCACTGTAAAATTTATATCTTTTAAGAAAATTGTTTTACTTAGAAATGACACTGAAAAATAATTGTTATTTCAGACCACTGTCATGTTAACAAAATCAATGTACAAAGTTCACCAAACTATAATGAAAACTCATTTAGTATCCTTTTTTTGTCCGAGTTTGCCTTTTGTATCCCTCTCCCGCCTTTTGTATCCCTCTCCCGTTCCTAAATCCATCAAGTGGCAGTGTGGCTGGGAAGTAAGGTAAAAACTCCTTTCTTTGCTACAGATTCACCTAACCATTTCCAAACATTCTGTCCTGTCGTTTGTAATGTAACATTTAATGTTAGCAACCCCAAGTGAGACTTGACTTCATTATTCTTATTCTTATTCTTTTAGGTTCTTGCCATAGGGCACATGCACTTACCAGAGACAAACAGAGACAGGGAAAGTGAGAGATCACCCACAGCAATCCCTTTCCCTCCAGTCTCCTCTCAGAATATTTTGCACCCACTCACATGTGCCTGTCTTGATTTTCAAGCTGCTGGGTCCGGGGCGCATATGGCAGTCGGCCACGCGGGAGTATAGTGCCTTAAACAGCATGCCACCTACTGGCCCCCTCAAGGGAAACTTTATAAGAAACTCACAAAGACCTAGTGATTACAAATGAAATCTGTCAGTGTTTAAATGTAATATTTTTCATTCAAATAATTTGGTTTTGAAATGCCACTAAAATCTCGATGATTCTACTATTTTATTAGCCAATGCTTCTCCACAAATAGCCCACTATGGTTTCAGCATTTAACCATCCAGTAGGGCTAAGAGCTGACTTCAGTGTCGAAGAGTTATGACTTTCCAACAAAACTAATACAAAGCCCTCTGTCTGTAGCTCTGAAATACTTCCATCATCACATCATTTGGTTTAGCACTACTGTCACATTCAGAAAAAGTGTATCTTGTCAAAAAAAGAGTCCAGAGGCCAGCAGTTAGCGTAATGGCTATGTCGCTGGACTCCCATGTAGTCAACCGTGGTTTGAGTCCTGGACCTGGTGGCTTAAACTCATGCCAGGCACTTGTGCATGCGTGCCCAAGATCCCGAGAGGAGAAGGGATTGTGGTGTGGCCATCCCCCCGGGGGGGTGATTTCTCGCTTTCTGTCTCTCTCTGTCTTTCTGGCAAGCACACGTGCCATATAGCAAAAATCTCTCAAAAAAAAAAAAAAAGAGTCCAATACAGATTGTTTTGTCATCAGTATATTGTGATTAAAAATATATAACATGAACTTTACTACCAAGATACAGCTAAAACTTATAAAAGTGGAAATATAAAAGCACAAAAATATTTTTACTTTTTATTTATTATTCTTTAATTATTATATTATTTTCTTTTTAAATTTTTTATAGAAGAAAGGGTGATTAATCAAAGTTAACACAAGATTTTAAAAACACATTTTCTTCAATTCTTATACATTTTAGGGTTACAAATAACTGTTATAAAAATAGAACATGAAACGGTCTCGCTGGCCATGACTAGCACACGACTCACCACGGCACTCCAGCCAGTCTGGATCCTGCTCAGAGCGGGCCAGACTGTGTACTCAATGTGATGATGACAAGAGCGAAATGCAACTCAAGTTTCTAAATGCTCCCCTCAAGTTCTTTTCTTATCTTGTCATGGATTGGTAACACAGTTCAAGGACAACACTGAGTAGCATTAGGCTACAGAATGTTTAAACTTAAGACTTAAAAGTGCAATAAGAATGTGCAAATAACTTCAAAGAGCATGTGGCCCATCTGAGAAACAGAAAATCCAATAAGCCAAGCATGAAATGTAAACAGGGGAATGATAAGATAAGAGACTGAAAAAGCAAGCAGGAAACCTGAAAGCTATTTTACAAAAAAGAATTCAAACCCATGGTCTCCAAATTTTAATCATTACATATCCATGTCAGTATGTAGATTTAATGATCTACTATTGATATTTTCATAGGATTTACAACATGTTCATATAAAAATAATAAATATCATCTAGATCACAATAAATAGAATGTGAAGATTAAAGCCTAAAATTATATTTTCATTATTTATGGTATTTGTTCTCACAAAAATTGACTTTTTAAAATTAAAGTATAATTGATGGGGCTGGCAGATGGCATGGTGGTTAAGGTGCTGGACTCCCACATGATTGGCTGTGGTTCGAGTCCCAGACCTGGTGGCTTGATTTCTGCCCCCCCCCCCCCCGGTGAATGGGTGTTGCCCCTATAAAAAATTTAAAAATAATAATAAATAAAATTAAATGATTCTTTTAAAAAATTACCAAAAAAAAAAAAAAAGAAACCCAAAAACACACACACACACCCAGAGATGTGGAATGCATGCCCTTTAGTAGTTTTATAGTTTTATATTTACTTGGTGAACAAGTTTGAAATAGTATTTCAAAAAAAGTTTAAATTATTAACAACTTTTTCCCCAGTTTTGCCATAGGGCACATATGCTCACCAGAAGGGCAAGTGGGGGGGGAGGGAAGAGACAAAGAGAGGGAAAGTGAAAAATCACCCCCCAAGGAAGATGACCATGCCACAGTCTCTTTTCCTCCATTCTCCTCTCATAATTTTGGCCATGCACATACAAGTGCCTGGAGTGTTTTTCAAACCACTGGGTCCAAGACTTGAACCATGCAGTTGGCCATGTGGGATCCAGCTGCAGTCACCACCATGCTACCGGCTGGCTCTAGAAATTATTTTCATTCTTCATATTAGGTTTGTCAATACACAAATGGTACCATTATGCAAATTTGAAGATAAGAAATTATTGCTACTGAAAAACAAAATCAGTGCTTTATCTTATCCCTAGTAGTATTCCACTTGTAAGGAATAATGTCATGATTGTGAAGAACTGTGTTACTTGATCTTAATGCCAAATTTAGTTGTTTATTCTAAAAACAGAAATGTCGTTAATGTATTCTGAAGGCCAGACATTCAGGGCAAAAGACTCAGAATAAAAGATTGTTTGAACTCCAGTCTGTAATGTTCTACTGAGGAATGTTAACACAAATCTCTCACTAATTTGATCCCAAAAGAATACTCCCAATTGCCCCTAGCTATGAAGATGTTAACTACAATGTACTGGAAAAAGGAAAAGAATAAATACTATCATCAAAGATAAACACCACCCTTTACTGGAAGTTTGTCCCCCTTTGAGAATTTTCACATCTTGTGCAGAAAGACCAAGGGGTGCTGTGTTGGGAAAAATAACACTGTTATTCTAAAACTATCATGAGAATGAGATTGGCAGCATTAAGAGATTATAGCCAGAGGAATTTCCCACTAAAATAGACACTTTAGAG